GGCTTTCAAATCTGCTCTTTGGACTGGTGACAACCGCAGAGCTCGCCGTCAATTCTATCAGAAGTAATACAAAAAAAAATAACCGAGTGTTTGACATTCTTTTCTATGGTTAACCTCTTAACTGTTGTATTTTTGAAAAAAAGTTAAATAGCAAACTTTGAACAAATAAACCTTTAGTAATTTAAATAGTAATAACCTATGGTGCCTCCACGTTTAGACATGCATATTGATTGCGTATTATTTATATAGAAGATAGTTCTACTGTTGAAGAATGTTGTAAATAAATAATTAAAATAAATGATTTAATGTTTTGTGAAGTATCGGGTGGACTATACTTATAAATCTATATCTATGGGATAAATTCGAGGTTCTACGGTAGTTCAGTACCGGGTGTGAGCCATAAAAGATGAGTCTCTCAGTATTTTCTATTTTTCTCGTATTCCTTTAAGACTATAAGGATTTAATTTATAAGTAATTAGGGTTTAATTATAAGTAATTTTAAAGGGTTAATTTATAAGTAAAGATTTATAAACAATAAAGTTTAACTTTCATTTTTCCAAGGATTGCTTTGACGTAATATTACGTCAATAACAGTTAACAGGTTAATAACTTTTGCTTGAAAAGTATTTTTTGTTGAATTCTTCCACTCATTCAAGTGCATATCATTTTTTCTTCCACAAACACCTAACTATAAACGAAGATTACGAGCTATTTAGGCCTGACAGTTCACCCTTCGATGAACTTCAGTGAGAGTTAAGTTGAGTAAAAGATGTCTAACTGCATAACGATTTTGAGAAAAATTTGTCATAATCACCGTGATCGTATCCCCAAAACTTTGATCATGCAATTCTCCAGTTCGTTTTGAATATTCTACTGCGCTATTAGCAGTTTCTTTTATTAAGGCCGCATCAGCTTATAACTGATTTTGATTCCTTTTTTTGGGATTCTATGATTGAAAACCTGCAAATCTTAGTTAATTTACATCGTAACAGTGGTCCAACTAATTTTCTCAAAATACGTCGAGCGAGGAAATAAAATTATCAGTGATAGTGAGAAGAAATGGAATTTGCATCGAGTTCATCCAAGATGATAATCGAAGCAAGGTGCAAAGTGATCAATGTTGATATGTCCATTATGTCAAACAGGTGAATTCAATTGTAGAAATAAAAGATAGAAATTAAGCGTCTATTAGAAAGCCAGATGTTGTATCAGCTGAATATATCTTATCGGCGTGGTCAGCTAACTCTGCTACCGTAACAAAGTTAACAGAACGATTTTTTATCATTTTGTTTTGCCGAAGATTCCTAAACTGACTGCCGTAGAGTGTCACGGGACATCTTAAGTTGAAGAGAAGAGTCTGATTAACAGACGTTTTTCAGCCTTACGGCATGTATCATTAAGAAGCTGTAACCTAAGCATTGGATACTTGCAAAAAAGCAAAAAAATTTGCAAAGATTAGAAACTAGTGTCCAATGCTTACGTTACAGCTTCTTAACGATACAGGTTGTAAGGCTGAAAAACGTCTTAAAATGTTAATCAGACTCTTCTCTTCAACTTAAGATGTCCCGCGACACTGTACAGCAGTCAATTTAGGAATTGTACGCAATACAAATGATGAAAAATCGTTCTGTTAATTCTGTTACGGTAGCAGAGTTAGCTGGCCACGCCGTTATAAAACTGTACTTACGAAGAAAGTATTGTAGACACATTCTTATTTTATAATCAGCAACGGCAGAATGTTTATAAAATTGATGTTATTCTGTTTTATTTCTAGTCTTGTTCAATTACTAGAAACATTTAAATTATCTTTGGCAAGATATCCGTTTGATTTAATTTCATCATTAATTCAACATTACTGTAAAAATGTTAAGCATTTATCTTATACATCAACGGCGAATAATAGTCCATGTGGTACGGCTCATGACTGGGAATTATTATTAAAATATCTTACAAAATTAGAAATATTTGAATTTAGTGTTTTAACCGAGTCAGATGCCGATGCAAAAACAGATTTCTATAAAAAATGGAATATCAAATGTGAGAAACAAGTTGGTTCACAAACATATCATTGTTATAATACATTATCATTGCCTATCAACTATCCAACGACATCATCAATAGAAATGTTTGCATAAGAACATAATATTGAAATTAATTATTTGTTATTTCTTTTTCAAGTAACTTTTTTCTACTTTTCTCACTCATGTAACTACTTTGATAGAAAGTTATCCCTATTAAAAGTAATTCATACTTTACTCCTTACAACGAAAAAAAAAATACCAGGAACTCAGAAAAAATTTGCTTTGCACATTTTATACAAAGACTTTTACATCGTATATTACATCTACTCTTTCGAGAAAGTTAATGCTTAAACGGACGCTTTGTTCGAAAGATTTGCATTTCACTAATAAGTGTTGCACATGTTTGAACGAAAATTTGTGGAATACTAAGGCGAATTAAAATTTATTTTTTCTTTGGAACCACGACAGATATGACCAAGATTATTTTTTAGCATAATTACAGGGTAGCCCAAAAAAAACTTATCCCTTCTGTATGTATTTATTGACGTTCTTCTGTAAAAATATGATTGAACTTTTTACCATTAGTTTAGTCGAATAGAGCAAAGATTTGTGGACAAAATAAGATGTCTTTGAGCTCTGTATGAGCTTTTCTCATGAAACAGCATTCAATTTACGGAAGGTAAATTTACGGAATCAGGACAATAAACGGGAAAACAAGAAAGATACACTCTTAGAGCCTTCCGTAAATTGGATGCTGTTTCATGAGAAAAGCTCGGAGAGAGTTCGGAAACGTCTCATTTCGTCCAGAAATCTTTACTCTACTTGACTGAACTGACTGCTAAAAAGTTCAATTATATATGTACATAAGAAAACCAATAAATACAGAGGGGATAAGTTTTTTTTGGGCCACCCTGTATACCTCTATCATCGAGAGACCATCTCCGAATCGTAAGTCTAAACTTTTAGATCATTAGTAGAAAGAGTATGTGTACATTCTTTAGAGTACATTCTTAAGTTCTAAGAAAATGATCGACCAACTACAATCATCTCTCTCATACAAGAGGTTCTACAACAGTAAAATACCGTTATACACTGAATCACAGACATAGATTAGATAATTCTTTTCCTATAGTACATCAAGAATAGATCCGATCTTCGTACATCTTGTTTTTGTTTCAGTGAACAAAATTATGATTAACTTTTAAACCATATTGCGTCAAGTACAGAATATTACAAGCGTATTCGTTTGAAACATTTTATTTTTCAAGTTATTCTTCGGTATACTTAAAGCAATTTTGAACTTTTCTGGGTCATTCGCACATTAAACATTTCATAATGGTAATTTTATAAGATACCGATCATTTTTTTATGCAATATTTTTCGTACGTCTGAAGATCGACTTTACAAGATTTTGGGTAAGTGCATCAGGTCATATACAGAAAGATAAGTCATCCTTTCATTACATTTCACGTGTGTATATTTCAAAATCTATATCAGCACATCAAAATGATTGTAAACAGTGAAAAATAGTTCATATTATGCTATATTTGTCTCTTCTTCGACAACATGTTTTTCATCAACTTCAAACATCTACTCAACTGCTACTCTACAAACTGATGTTTTCTCATTCTTAATCTAAAGTTCCACGTAATCGATAGTAAAAGATCATTTCAAATCTTGTATTAAATTCTGTTATGCATCACCTGGTTTAATTGAATGAAAAAAGAAAAGAGAAAAAAAAAACTTCAGGAAATTGTAAGTTTGAATAAAGTACATAAAGCATAAGTGGATTTTTTTCCAGTTTAGATATGAGTATTTATTTGATAGCTGCAAAAACCATTATAACATGACGGTATAGCAAGTT